GAACATACTGGTTTGTAGTGTAAACAGTTTTACCATTTACTGCACTTTGTTATTCTTCTCGTTATTTCCCTACAGCAGCTAATGAACCGGAAGTCTCACAGAAAACGGCTTACATCCGTGGATTGTTCTATATCTGTTGATTTTCGAGTCTGAATTGTTCTTTCTGTGATAAAAAAGAGGATTCATTACAGCCAGCCTGACGGGGATTCATTGCAGACAGCCTCACCGAACCATTGACTTTAGGTTGTTCTACACAAACCTCTTTGAAGACGTAGTTGACGGCACATAAAAGAGCCTTCAAGCTTTCTGTAAACCCATCTTGACACAGAGAGGCTGATAAGGTGAACAGAATCCATCCCTGTTCAGAAAATCGAATTACAAGCATAATAGTTTGTGACTCAGTAATCTCACGGCCGACAAAAGCTTTGCTTCCACTCATTCTCCAAACAAAGGGTCATTTCAGTTCTCCATCTAACATTGTACAGCACCACTAAATGATTAACTTCTCACGTATAATCTTATTATGAATAGTTTCCATTCTCTCAGAGATGTTGTAACATAAATGACACCGTTGTAAAACCATCTCTTAAATTTTTGTTTTCTTAAAAAAAGTTTTATAGAAGTTAGTGACATTTATTTGCATCTCACTCTTATACAAGCACTTTACATCATCTTTAATAGTTCAAACCTGACCAAGTGTTTTAAATACACTCGATTATTCATCATCAGAGTCGTTGCATCAGGGACGTCTCATCCCAGGTCTGGAGCATTTAAAAGAACCTGCCCTTGTGAAGTCTTCGTCATTCTTTGAACTACAATTAGACTAATGAGCACTAGTGTCATGCATGTCTCAGCAGTCGAAACAGAGATGAAATGAGTCGCGACAGCGGCCATATGTCCTGTGCTAAGTAACTGCCATTGGTGGGTCTCCTGCTATTGATGCTGTCCACATGCGTGTGGTCGTGCTGAGGAAAGTCAGAGCTGAGAGAAGAGCGAGAAGAGAAGGAGGAAGTAGAGGGGTGGCTAGTGAACTAGTGGCCACAAAGGAGGGAAGCTGTAGTTACATTCTTCTCTGGACCTTCTCCCTGACAGCAGCGAGTTGTCTTATAACAGTAGGTGGCGCAGACAGTGGATCTTGTCCCGGTAAAGGAATTACAAATCTGCGGCAACTCTACACTGACTGCATCGCAAGCCCTCTTAAATAAAGTGAGTGACTTTTGACTCTATTATTTTCTATTCATGGATTTTATTAATTAATAATACTTTTGAGAGAAGTAAATGAATCGCATAATAGCTTAGTTACTAGACATTACGTTTATTTGTGGGACAAACCCAGTTGAAAAGTCCACAACGGCTAGAAAACTGTGTGTGTGTGTGTTTTCTTCAATGCTGGTGTGTTTCCACCAGGCTTCTTGATACTCATGTTTTGTCGCTATAGACTTACATTCTTTATATTCGGGTACCTGAGAGCCCAATGCTATATGTGACCCTGGACCACAAAACCAGTCTTAAGTCGCTGGGGTATATTTGTAGCAATAGCCAACAATACATTGTATGGGTCAAAATTATCGATTTTTCTTTTATGCCAAAAATCTTTAGGATATTAAGTAAAGATCATGTTCCATGGAGATATTATGTAAATTTCCTACCGTTATTATATCAAAAATGTATTATCATTAGTAATATGCATTGCTAAGGACTTCATTTGGACAACTTTAAAGGCGATTTTCTCAATATTTTTATTTTTTTGCACCCTCAGATTCCAGATTTTCAAATAGTTGTATCTCAGCCAAATATTGTCCTATCCTAACAAAACCATACATCAATGGAAAGCTTATTATATAAATCTCAATTTCCAAAAATTGACCCTTATGACTGGTTTTGTGGTCCATGGTCACATATGGGGAAAACTTATAACAGTAACTTTGAATTGAACCTTTTAACCCTCATCAAAGTAGTCATATAGAAAAATTACTGTTTTACAATGTAATACCCTTGTTGCTGTTTCCTTCAGAAAAAAAGACAATAAAACAAATCAAAGTAAACTCTTAGGAATGTACTGCTAATGTGTGTCAGGATTATTATTATTAACTAAAACTATTAGAATACAAAAAAGATCAAATATACTTATTATATGAGAAATATCAACTTAAAAAACATCAATGAAAATGAGAAATATTGCCTTTAAAATATGTTGAAGTTGAATTACTAAAATGTATAAAACTGAAATAAAATAAAGCTAAATATAAATATAAAAAAAATAATAAAAATGAGAAAAGCACATAAAATTGCAAAATCTAAAGTAAAATGAAAACTGAAAATATAAAAAATAAAAGCTAATTCAAAATATTAATAAATGACGTATCATGTGAAAATTAATTGTATTTGTTTTATCTGGTTTCTGTCAGTCCCCAAATGTAAGTAACATGTTTTTTTGTTTTATATATTATTATTATTTTTACTTAAAATATTTTATCAATAATTTCTCACAAAATTTGGTCATGAAAGTCATGAAATATCAACTTGATACTTGAATGTCAAGTACAGTGTGAGCTATTGAAATGGCCATGCAGTCTCTCATAACCCAAACAGAATATGACGGTTAACTCTCTTAACCAAGACAATAGAAAGACAGTGCTAGTCGACCAGCTTCACCTGTTTAGTTTTGTATTAGAATAGCATGACTATGCTGGTGCACCTGCTAGACCAGCACCAAAGCACCATAAACCAGAATAAAGCAGCCTGGAACATCATGCAAATTCATGCTAGTGTAAGATGGTCTTTTCAACAGGTGCACTAATTTCACAGATGCACTGCAGAGATTTCAAATAGATGAACACTTGATAAAGAAGTCATTCTCCTGGTTGAGACACATCATAATGTGCAGTCTCTCTCTCTCTCTCTCTCTCTCTCTCTCACACACACACACACACACATTTTCCAAATGAGCCTTTCAATTATCTGGGTGCTTGTGTGCTTGTCTTCTGTTGATGTGACTACTCCATCACTAATAAATTGACAAATTGCTCATGTCATTTTGCATCTGTGAGTAAACGCGCAGATTCCCTTTTGGGAAAGAATTATATTGTCCTACAGGGTCTTTTGAAGGAGATGTAATTTTAGGCAATAACAAATCTTCCTTTATCTATTATGCAGTGATGACATCTGAATGGGTCTGCAGTTGAGAATGAATTACAGCTACAGGATCAGACTAAGACACTCACAGTTCTGTTTGTTATGGTATTTCTAAAATGAAAGCAAGCATTACATAATGTTGTAGTTTATATTTGTTTAGTTTAATGGGCACTTAATATGCCATACAAATATTGTGTTCATACAGTATATATATATATATATATATAGAATAAAATTATTAACAGAAACATTAAAGTGACATATTTTTCTAAATATATTTTTTCCTACATTTTAATTGAGAGATAAATATTGCAAACTGTCAATCAAAGTGAAGATTGCCTTTGATTGCACTGTGCATGGGTTGTCAAAACCATTTACAGTGTCCAAATATCCAAACCTTTATGCTCATAATAAACCATCTGCAAAAGACTGAAAATAAGTAGTCTAATTTTGGAAACCTGGCTGCACTTCTTAGACTTTTCTGCAGTGTGCCGACCAGTTTCACTGGGAATTTATTCCGGAATTTATTTCGAGTCCAGACAGCTCACATAGAGCTCATTAAAATCACTGAGTTTCTTTCTCGTTACAAAATTGATGTAGTCTTCGTTGTGATTAAAGTTATGCACATTTAATTTGGCTCTGGTGAATTATATTTGAGAAAGGCATAGTTCATCTATGTAGGAAGTAAAAAGTCAGATATGCCCTGACTGCTCACTGAAGGTCAATCTTTTCTGCCATTCCTAATTTTAGTACTCACTAAGATAATTCTTGCATTTGTTTACCAATTTGATTCGGATTAATACAGATCCTGTATCTAAATACCTACATTATATATCCTTTCCAAATATATGGTAATTATTGCATAATGAGTGTTTTAATTAGCATGGAAGCATTAGATTTAATTCATTACACATCATTATTCATGATACCGTGGAATATTAATCTGAAATTACTATTATAATGAGATTCTATTTCCTTTTGACACTCATTAACTCTATGTCAGTAGAAAATCATTACAGTTCACTACCTTGGACAGTCTTTCTCTCCAAAATCACAATACATGCGCGTAGTAAAAATCAGTTATGAATGAAGAGTTATCTAGTGCAGTTAGCCTATGTTCCTGTGGGGAAAATCAAATATTGTATCTATCACTATGAAGCAGTTGTACAGCCTGCCGTTTTACTCTTTAATAGTTGTGAGTTTAGCACATGTGTCTGCCAGCTCAGGGTGCTTCAATGCATCTGTTTAAGACATTGCTTTGCATTTTAATAAGCTTGTAGACACTCAAGCCTTAAGGTAAATCAATTAAAAACTGTTATGAGGGCTGCAAAAGCAGATATTTAACATAATACTTACATTAAAGGGATAGTTCACCTAAAAATTCAAAAACAATTACTCACCCTCATGTAATTCCAAACCTGTCTGATTTCATTCTGATATTTAGACAAATGTTTTAGTGTTTTTTTGTCCATTTAGCGAAAGTGTGTTGGATCCGTTTTCTGTTTTAGACTCTGACTTTCATTACATGGACAATAACATATATCTAGTTATAAAGGTTTGGAATGACATAAGGGTGAATAAATGATGACAAAATGACATTTTTGGGTGATGCCAAAAGAATGTTTTGTTCTTCAGATATTATTTTCCTCATTTCTCTCTCGCTTGATCAGGTGTCACAGTGGTGGTGTCATTGGTGCACTAAAAAAATCATGCTCATGGACTGGAGGAGACCAGACTGCACTGGATTGAACACGTGTGAAGAGCAAAGTGTGCAAAAGAAAAAAAGGAAGCACAATCCCTAAGGAGTAACTCTTGGTGTTGGTGCCATGGATCACACAAGCCCAGGCAGCCTCCATAGCTGAGAGACTGCCCTGAAAATGGAGGTCTTCTACCCTGGCTGCATCTCCAGAGGCGAAACTGTCTGGGTGGAATCTATCAAACCTTGAGCGTCTGCTTGTAAACAACCGGGTGCCGTCAAAATGCGAATGGAGGCTCAATGAAGGATGCTCTCTACAAGGCGAACTGGGCACTGACACAAATGAAGTATGTAACATCATTCACAGCATCTAAAACAGAGACTCGGCCAGTATGGAAGAGCAGACTACCACTGTGATTCAGATTTACATAAATGACACTAAGCAGTTCAATGCTTTGTATGACTTCAACCTAACCGATGTGAAAGAGAGCATAGACACCTATGAGTTTTACGTCATCGGCCTGTTTCTCTCCTGCCTGTACACCATATTGCTGTTCCCCATTGGCTTCATTGGGAACATCCTCATTTTGGTGGTCAACCTCAACCACAGGGACAAGATGACCATCCCTGATCTGTACTTCGTCAACCTGGCCGTGGCGGACCTTATTCTGGTGGTGGACTCGCTCATCGAGGTCTTCAATCTCAATGAGAAGTACTACGACTACGCCGTCCTCTGTACCTTCATGTCGCTGTTCCTCCAGGTGAACATGTACAGCAGCATCTTCTTCCTGACATGGATGAGTTTCGACCGATACATTGCTCTCGCTAACTCTATGAGCAGCAGTCCACTGCGAACCATGCAGCACGCCAAACTCAGCTGCATCCTCATCTGGATGGCCTCCATCCTGGCGACTCTGCTTCCTTTCACCATTGTGCAGACACAACACACCGGCGAGGTGCACTTCTGCTTCGCCAATGTCTTTGAGATCCAGTGGCTCGAGGTGACGATCGGATTTCTGGTGCCCTTCTCCATCATCGGCCTGTGCTACTCCCTGATCGTCCGCATCCTCATGCGGGCCCAGAAGCACAGGGGACTGTGGCCGCGCCGGCAGAAGGCCCTGCGCATGATTGTGGTGGTGGTGCTGGTGTTCTTTATTTGCTGGCTACCTGAGAATGTTTTCATTAGCATCCAGCTGCTCCAAGGCACGGCAGACCCGTCGAAACGCAGCGACACCACACTGTGGCACGACTACCCATTGACTGGACACATCGTCAACCTGGCTGCGTTCTCCAACAGCTGCCTAAACCCGATCATTTACAGCTTCCTCGGGGAGACTTTCAGGGACAAGCTGCGGCTTTTCATCAAGAGGAAGGCCAGCTGGTCTGTGGTCTACCGCTTCTGTAATCACACCCTGGATTTGCACATCCCTGTCAGGAGCGAGTCCGAAGTGTAGCGCAGGTGTGGCGACCTGCAGTTCCTGAAGTTGTCATCTGCCTTGCCTCGCTTTCCAGAACTTGATCATGAATTGACAGAGAGATCTTTGGGTTAGCTTGACGTCGTGAAGACTGCCTAATTCGGCTGAGCAAAACAAGGATTATTCAGGGTGAATCACCTGCTGATGAAGGGGATTATAAAACACAGATGCAGAGCTTGGCTTATGGCTACCTTTTACAAATAATAGAAATAATAGGACAGCATGTCACAATGAAGACTTTTATAGGATGATATTCTCGGAGTCCATTTTAAGGGCACAAATAAAGTAATGGAAGCACCTGCAACCCATTTCCCATCTGAGTTATTGTTACATATATTCTCCTTTTCATATATTAATGCTATTGACACGGACACAATCGACAACTTAGTCTGTTCTGCTTCAAGACTGAATAAATGCATATTTTGTAGGATTTTCCATTCAGGACATCTTCACTGGGGGATGCTAAAAACGTGAGAATCTTTCGAAATTTTCAAGAGTGTAAGATTTACTCCCAGCCAATTTTAGGGATTCCATAAACAGTGGTAAACAGTACTAATGTCTGAAAAGGTAATGGTCATCTCTAGGTTTACACAAATACATCATTAGGGAAACATTAAAGTAAATTCAGTTCAATGCAAGCATATTTGGTGGATTACTGCTCATTTGGACAAGTGTTAGCGACACTAAACCCAGGTGTTGGCTCCTGTTTCCAGCATATAATCTATGTAACAGATTATTCAAGACTTCGGAAATGCGATGTCCAGCACTGCGGTTTACCTGATCCAGAGTTATTTGTTGCATTCCCATTCCGCTCATTTTCTCATGAGTGCACTCTATCAGCAAAAACAAGGAGAGATTGCAGTAGATTGCTTTGAACTGTATAGGAAGGAAGTAATTCCAATAAGGTCTAATTCATTTAGAAACAAAGTGTCCACTGTCAAGACTGTATGGATATTAATATGGATACACGATAAGACTTGAAATGATTGTTGCACTGTCCAAAATGTGTCGGGATGATTTAAGTATCATTTAAATGTACGCTATTTTCATATTGAGATATTACAAATGATTACGAAATGATAACAAGAGCGTCTTGATAACAGGAAGCTGATATTTTCCCCTAGAGAGAGCCCTCTCGTGCCCAGGGCTAAAACAATATATGACTCAAATTATTCATAAACACAGTGGCAGTCTGAGGGCTTTTTCCCAAGTAAAACTGAACAAAGATAAACAAACACAAAGAAAATGAGGAATTCAAAATGAGGTCCCTTGGGATTTTTTTTCTTGTTGAGCAGTACACCATACAAAATGATCAATATAATGGTATAATGCATTTGAGCCTGAAAAAGCAGAATGAATAAATAAATAGCCCAATTTTCACAATAAAGTATAAAATGGTTGTCAATTTTGTAATAAGACCACTAGGTTTGCACTGTTAGTTTGAAGAAAGCTGTCTGCTACACTAGAATGTAAATAGAAAGGTGAGGGGATATTGATGCATAATTGGTTTATTCCCTTCTTAGATGGAAAACAAGATTGTAGTATAGTACAATTAAATATTTACTCCACAGGTAAATCACTTATTGTTTGTTATCTATGGCAAATGGCACAGGAAATTGACTGGCCTGCACAAACAGCTAATGCAGACTGTGATTTAATATAGGGCACATTTTAGTGCCTATCATATTATGAAAAAGTAGACATCTTTAATAATAATCAGCCACATTTCAACCAATAAAAGTACATACTGGATATGTTCCTGCTGGCCATGATAAAGTCTACTGTATACAGACAAGCTGCTGTAAGTGATGATTATTATTATTAGTAGTAGTAGTATTATTATTATTATTATTACTGTATTACAGCAATGAGAATGTAATTAGAATCAGGAGTCTATTGTGAATTATAAAACACACAAAAATGTAAAAAGTCTAGATTTGTGTGGGAAAACTGTCATGTAAATAATGTCACAGTCCAAGTCAAAGTCTTAATGGACCTAAAAAGGCTTAGTTTATTTACATAAAAAATTTTCTTTTTGAATTTGGGGTGAGATGTGACCTTGAAATGTTTTTGTGAGATTTAGACATTGCTTCTCAATGTGTCCTGCATGCCCCGGTTCTGCTCACAGACCTTTTTGAGTCAATCACCTGAGCCATAAACTCACACTGGAGCAGTGTTGGTTTTAAAACTAAAACCAAAACCATTTTTGTTAATAGAAATAAAACTGGAATCAATTTCATATAAATATTAGTTTAATTTTAACTAAAAAAAAACAACTTAAAAAACAAACAAACTAAATAAGTATAAGCAGAAATAGTAAAATAACTAAAACTGACTAAAATTTCAATTAAATTTGGAAATATCAAAATTAAAATAAAAGTAATAAATACTGTAATGGCATATACATAAATAATAAACACTGCTCTAGAGACAGGATATGAAAACACTGAGATCAATGGAGAAAATGCTTGTTGATCTGAAACCCATTTGTTGGTTTTTGACATACTCTTGATAAAATGTATTTGACAGCATGTATCAGTTATAATAATGCAACTGTTGTTGATAATCACAAGCATATGTCAGTATGGAGTGCTGGGTGCTGATACAGAGAGTTTGTTTAATATAGACCAGCGCAACAGAACATGCAGCTCTGGCATAGTCTGCAAGAAATAAAAATAAGACACAGCCTGGCAAAACCAAGAAATGTTTTTCCAGCTGTAACAGCCCAGTCTGGGAAAAACATGTAAGCATTGTTTGAATAACTTTTAATGAATTTGTATGGAAATCACCATTAACATTAACATATTTACTCAGTTACATATTATAAAAGCCAACCCACACATAAAGAGAGAAACAAAAGAGTGACTTGCAGGAAACTTGTGTCTCAGACAGACCTATAGGGCATGGGTAAGGTTGTGTGCCTCTAAAAGAGATTTGAGAATCCATGATGAGAACAGCCTTAGGATGTGAGCATCACAGATACAGACAAGTGAAATAATGACAGACAACTGAGTTGAAATCCAGACCCCCACAATCCATCCCCTGGGAAAGAGTCAGTGAGACATGTTAATTTCGTATCTGTATAAATACAAATAAATAGACACGGGACGACTCTGAGAAAGACAAAGAGCAAGAGGTGAGGGAGAGACTGTGAGAAGAGTGTGTGTCTGCAGCTGGGACTGGAGCAGGGCCTGACGTCATTGCGTCCTAGCGCATATGTTTGTCCCAGTTGTCTATGAGATTTCTCTTTTGATGCGGTTGAATCTATTTATCAGAACTCATGCTGTCTTACAGTTTCCAGTGTTTACATGCTTCCTGTCTGTACTCACACACATAAACAATACAAACCTCAAATATACTTCAAAATAGATTTGAGCACAAAAGAAGAATCTGTCCAAATAATTCACATTTTACAAAAAATAAACAAAATGCCATAGAAATATTGTGGTTTGGAGTAGAATGATAAGCTGAAAGCTTACGAAACACCACAAGACTTCCAGCATCCTTTTGTCAGAGGTAATTAAAGTAGTGAGAATTAATGCATACGCTTAGGGAATATGAGTTTGAATAAAAGATCTGAACCACAATTACATTTACATATTAAAATCTTCTTAGAAAAAGAAAAAAAAGAACAGAGGCAAATTAGGTAACATCAAGAGGTTCAAATAGAGCTTTGCATAGGAGTGTTTCAGTCTAATAAGAGTGTAGCTCTTCTGAATGTATAATGGCTCAAAATAAATACATCGACCAAGCATGGTATAGACCAGGGTTTCTCATATCTTGCCCTGGAGGGCCAATGCGCTGCAGAGTTTAGCTCCAACCCTGATCAAAGTCACCTACCTGTGATTTTCTAATGATCCCCAAAGACATTGATTAGCATGCTCAGGTGTGTTTGATTAGGGTTAGAGCTAAACTCTGCAGGAAAGTGGATCTCGTGGGCCAGATTTGAGGATCCCTGGTATAGACTAAACCACAACATTTAGATACTTAAAAAAATAATCAAAATAAAGAGTGCACTCACCACTGGCCATAAGAGGACGCCAGAGCGCATAAATGAAGATAATACAAGTAAATATACAAAGTCGACGGCAACTGAGAGATTAATGATGAGAAAAGTATTGTCGACTCGAGTAACATATTAAGCAGCTTCCTTAAACGATAAATGTGTGCTGACCCCAAAGAAATGTGTCAGTCAGTTCCGAATAAAACTAGCTTACTGAATACTGCACATTATAGCCTACTTACAATGAAAATGCTTTGATTAGCATGCTACATTGCAGGTTTAATTTGGCGAGCAACGTCGTTACCGCGTTTTTGCCCAATAATCGAGACGGGTATACTATTGTAATAATCTCATGTTACATATAAATGTAATTTGCTAGTGCTAACAAATAAGGTGTATTCAGCATATAATGTATATAGTGAGAGTAATATGGTAGCACGCCACATCTAAGAGAAAAACACTACACCAAAATATAATTTGATGACAGATTGTGATTAGTTGTAAATTGTGCCAAAATGATACGATTATGCCCTCTTGTGATGAAGAGTCTGCTACAAATCAAGTCACTTTCCAGGAGTCTGACACTAGTTCAACAAACTAATGAACAGAAAGAAAAAAAAAAAGATAATATTGGTCCAGTGACATTGGTCATAATAGACTTATGTAGCTGTCATTTTAGTATCCTGCAAGACTCACAATTAAAAACCTGAGCACATTCAAGTGACAGAATCAGCACACCGTTTTGAGGTAGAGTAATTTTATTTACAACCCAATGATCAATGTAAATTAAGATAAGTGATAAATACATTAAAGCATGCAACTAAAGCCGCTTCCCAATGAGCTCTACAAGGGTTAATCTAGACACTCACTTTAAAAACCTGAGTTTGTAAGGAATGATTTACAAAATGACTCCAATGGGGGGGGGGGGGGGGGGATATGAAAATTAGGCCCTCTCTCCTCTGATTCGCCTCGCAAGCTGGATATCCTTGGGCATGATTGTGACTCTCTTGGCATGAATGGCGCACAAGTTGGTGTCCTCAAACAGACCAACAAGGTAGGCCTCACTTGCTTCCTGTTAAAAAAAAAAAAAAAGACAAGTGTTAACATTAGAGCTTGCAGAAACTTTAAAACATTGTACGTCACATTGCGATTCATTCATGGAATAATTTTAAACACAACAACCGCTACACACCTGAAGTGCACCAATGGCTGCACTCTGGAACCTCAGATCAGTTTTGAAGTCCTGCGCAATCTCCCTAACCAGACGCTGAAACGGCAACTTGCGGATGAGCAACTCCGTTGACTTCTGATAACGACGAATCTCCCTCAGAGCAACAGTTCCAGGCCTAAAGTGGGGAAGAAAAAACAAAAAGAAAAAACGTGTGATTTACCTGTGATAACCAACTTTACCATGTATGTGCATCTCATTACAGCAGTATTTCAGACGCACCTGTATCTGTGGGGCTTCTTGACGCCACCAGTAGAGGGCGCGCTCTTCCTAGCGGCTTTGGTCGCCAGCTGTTTTCTTGGCGCCTTTCCTCCAGTTGATTTACGCGCGGTCTGCTTGGTACGAGCCATTGTTTATCAGTCTCTAGAATTAAAAACAACAACACTTAAATACAGAATTTTTCCCATTTTTAAAATTAAACTCAACGGTGACTTAAAATGGCGGTATCATCCGGGTCTTGCGCTTTGCTTTTACCACTTCCGCTCCAGAGCCGCAGATGCTTAAAAGGACATAAAATTTCACTTCAGACGGATGTACAACGTTAAGAGCCTACAATACATTTTAAACTATATAAAGCAGCTAAATTTCACGCACAACTGGTCTTGGAGAACCAAACGAGCGCCGCATACGTATATCTGCATCAGATAGAAACGCTTCTTATTCGGCGACTCCGGCATCAGCCTTCATCTGCAGCAGATACGGTTTCCCCTCAAATGCTGCAGATTAAACATCGTCCCACCACGAAACTCACCCTCAACCAGAAATATGGCAGTTGCATAATTCAGAAACAGCGGGAAAATGTGCAGGGGCGCAAGGGAGTTATTTGAACGCAGCATCTTAACCGGCAACTCGACCTCTTCAAGAACAAGCTCAACAAACCTTTGTCCAAAATGGCGGGCAAAAACGTAACGTTACATTGACAAACAAGCAGAGAATTATCAGATGCCACATATTGCTTCAAAGCCCGCCAAAAAGCCACACATTTAACATGTCTAAAACGCCACGTGATGTTTAAATTAACTTTGTTCAAGACCAAGAGTGTTTGAAACACTAATCCAAGCTAACAAATTAGCCAGCAAATGATTCATCAGTAACTGTTATGCAGGAGAAAGCGAAAATCCGATCAACTCTGCAACGTTAACTGACGAATTGTTTTCTTTTAAGTTAGCTCTAGACAAACTACTATTATTAATGTCTAATGCCAAAATATCTACAAAATAATTTGACTTACTCAAACCTCCTTGAACCGCAATCTCTCCCACGCAGTATCTCGTATTTGAAAATATGAGGGTCGGGCTTCTATTTATATATTTCTATGGCACGTCTCTTAGACACGCCCACAAGCACGTTTTCGTATCTCATTGGTTTAACACAACACAAGCTCCTCCTCTACTCTGTTTCGCTTCATTTACCTTTTATAATAGGACATACTCTAATTATTGGATATTTCTTTTGTTCTGCAACTGAAAATGTAATATTTTATGTTGATTTTAAACATCAACATATAACTTAGAATACATACAAATTATTTGCAATAGATAAAACGGATGATGGAGAAATATATACTTGAAGTACACTTTAGATGTTGGCTTCAATCTCACTTAATTTGTTTGCGTATTGTTTTGCCTACATTTAGAAACTTGTTTACGTACTTTTTTCACATAACTTAAAAGCCATACACTGCCGTTCAAAAGTTTGGAATCAGTAAGATTTGTAATGTTTTTTTAAAAAGTCTCTTCTGCTCATCAAGGCTGCATTTATTTGATCAGAAATACAGAAAAAAAAACTGTAATGTGAAATATTATTGAATTTTAAAATAATGGTTTTCTATTTGAATATACTTTAAAATATAATTTATTCCTGTGATATGTGAGTGACCCTGTGAAAACCCAGCTAAAGTCATTTTTTTTGTTATTTACTGTTTTCTACATAAAATCATCCTTCATAAAGATGTAGAACATTCTGTGAAAATATAACCTTTATATATTTAATATTGACTGAGTAAGGCCATGTCAAAGATTTAAATCATAGTGAAATTAATGGTTGATATCAAACTTTGATGCTTGTTATCATATAAAAAAAATGTTCATACACAGCTTGAGTAGCAAGATTGTGTTCAGTTTTAACTCTTTCTTCCATTTTGTATTTTTGGGTAAGAAAAACTACAGCATTAACTACACAGAGCCGTTGTTCACTGACGAGCTGCGCAAAAAATCGCGCGAATATGAACGTGGTTTTGCGCAGCTCGTCAGTGAACAATGGCTCTGTGTAGTTAATGCTGCTCAATGTGAAAACACGCAGGTGATGGAGATTTACCGCTGATTACAGAACCGGCTTTACTGATAAGATGCGCGTTAAATATCGCATGCGATTAATCGTGCAGCCCTAAACCCATTATTTTAAATGTTAATAATATTTTACAATATTACTGTTTTTTTCTGTCAAATAAATGCAGCCTTGGTGAACAGAAGAGACTTCTTTAACACACATTAAAAAATCGTACTTTTCTCGAACTTTTGAACAGCAGTGTACATTTAATTGCAACTCAAACCACGGAGAAATGGGCTTAAATCCGAAAACAGTTACACTTTTGGAATTAAAAAATATATAAATGCCTACTAAATAAGCATTGTTTTGTGTCTTTGCTACATTTTTTATGTATTTCTGAATAATGTTGTCGAACAACATGTCACAGTCTCATCAGTCACTTGGTTTGTGTGAGGGATCGTTGCATTACGGCAGCATGCTCGTTGTCTTCTGTTTGTTTGTCCCGCCAGTTGCTCATATTGGCCTTGCAGCGGCGCGCGAGAGCATGAGTAGACGAGAGGGTGCCCGCGCACGCGCTATTATTGTTTTGACTGAAAATGCCGTCGGTTTCGAAAACGGCGGCTAGCGCGTCTCCTCAAACCGAGAAACCAACCCACTATACGTAAGTAAAGCAAACATTAAATAGATGAAAATACGTCTCAGCGGAACGTGATGACTCTTCGATATTCGACTGTCGGATTTGTATTTGTAACGATGCTGTTTCCTCTCCCTCTGTGCGTTTTAAAATGGTGCTTTTCCTTTTGTAAATTCTTCCGAATGCACGCGGCTCTCACATATCAATGTTAATGAAATCAACAATCTCATCCGCTCTAAACATGGCATTGTTTTCCGTATCGAAGCTTTAATCGCGCTATGTGCCTTTTAAAACGTAAGAAAGTGCTCTTCGCTTATTTGCCCAAAGGCTGCTTGTGTGAATGCTTGAAGACATGTACATTGCACAGCAGTGAGACGAGCGAGTCGAGACGCTCGCTAGATGTAGCTAGCAGGCTGGTTTGTTAGCTGCATCCGCCTCCTTTCTCGGCCCTTGTTTCTTACTCTACGCTCTTTTCCCGCCGTACGCACCGTTGGCTTGAATGGAACGTACGTCGAAGATTTTACGTAACTCTGAACGCTAATCGCGGAGTACTTGGCGTAAGCTTCTAATGTTGTAGTGGAGAGCTTTAATAAAGGCTACAGTTGATGCAGTGAAATTTTAAAACAGTAAAACACATTCTGTTCCCATGTAGATGTTCATAAACACATAAAACGAAGATTGTATGTTTACATTTGCTGAAAAGGGGGTTCATCACGTAAAATATTTACCTAGGGCTAGTTTTTGTTGTGGAATGGTAGCGTATAAGAAATTACGCAGTGTAAACAGCCAGCACAGCTCCAAACTTTGAACGTAGTTGGACATTACTGCGTCCGATTCTGTCTATACTGATTTATTTGGCGCGGGGGTGGTTGATTATAAAGATTCTGACCGTGCCTTTTTCATTTTAACTATAGATATTTGAAGGAGTTCAGGACCGAGCAGTGCCCACTGTTTTTGCAGCACAAATGCACACAGCATAGACCCTTTACGTGTTTCTACTGGCATTTTCTAAATCAGCGAAGACGGAGACCCATACGAAGAAGAGAGGGGATTTTTAATTACAGCCCAGATGTATATTGCACGAAGTATGATGAAACAACAGGAATATGTCCCGATGGAGACGAGTAAGTAACTGTTTTCTTTCATTTATACTGCAGTTGAGAAGTCATGTTTTCGCGCCAGTGCACGTTGTAGATTATTTTGCATAGGCAATGTTACTGTTTGTGCTTGGGTCGCTCGAAACGAAGACTGTTTTAATAATTATAATATATATCACAACGCTGATTTCTTTTGGAAATGCATACGTTGTGTGAATCAGATTTTGACATGAGCATGTTGTAGTGTTATTTTTTGACTCGTCTTATTGTTCTGTGTAGCACACGCCCTTTTAAAAATGCAGTGTAGCAGACTGATGCCTTGTAAATTCACTATAGTGTTTACTCTGTTAATGTTTTACTCCCCCGTGTATATCGGAGATTGGCTTTTGCTGGTGTTGTGTTTCGCTCGATGTGTGTGTATTTCTCGAGTTTCATTTCCACTTTTGACTGATGACTCGTCTCTCAGTTCCCAGTTTCCCTGTGTGTAGCAGAAATGTATGGCTTCGGTTTGGAAATGAAGGTCAGAAGGCTGATGGTGGAGAGTCGTGTTTGTTGCCTTCCTTGTGTATTGCGCTCAGGGAGGCTAAAGACACGCCCCCTGTTCTCTGGCTTGTGATTGGCTCTCCCGTGCACGTACACTTTTCTGATTGGCTCACTGCTGTTACAATGTTTACGAGCCCTCGATTGGTAAAAACTCGTGTGTTTACAAATGTCTAATTATGTCCCAATTTAGTCCAGTTGTATATTTTGTTCTCTGCCGATTCGTTTGACTATCAATGAAAACATTGTGCTCAAGATAGAAGATTCAATTCTTTATTTATTCCATTTATCCATAATATTTGAATATTAACAGGGGTTGTTTTAAATATGTGCTGTTTGTTTGTGGTTTAGCTTATGTTAGTTTCTTATTCATTAAATCGAAACAGCTAGTTTTGCTGGAATTGTGCGACAGTGGCGCTATAAATGGATCAGATAATTACTGTAGTGTCCACGTGACACTACTGTTAGTCAGGTGTCATATGTGGATTCTTTCCCAGTTTTTCCCATAATATTGTTTTGGAGCTCTAACCAAAAACAATGACATGGCAACTTTGATGTATGATGTCAGGTGATATTTCTGATATATTTATATATTTCTGTGAGACATCTCGGTCAACATTTTGAATGTAAATGCATTATAGCTGCAATTGTTTTTAAAACATTGTTTTTACTAATGATTGTACAACACTAGTCATTGTATAATTAGTTTTTATTGTTGATTCACAATATATGGGTAGACTAGATAATGTAGATTATCTGCCAATATGAGAAATAATGGTATTGTTCAATATTTAGTTGTAGATGCTTGTTTCAGTGTATTTTTTATAGTATGTTTTATATTATTTTACACCTGTTTAATAATAGAGGACCCACATATATTATATGATTTTTGTCATCTCATTCACTTTAAAATGTGTATTTATTCATTCATATATTTCATTCCTTACATAACAATGTAATGATGTCTACAAAATTTGCATTATAACATTTATATGACATTTACAAAATCAGTTTATTTTAGTTAGACAAAATTAATTAATTTATTTTCTTTACTTACACCTGAACTGAAGGATACTGGTTTATTATTATTGTTTTTATTATAATATAACTCTAAAAAAATGGTTTGTCCTACGTCTCTGCTGAATCTCCCCGACAATTTATGTCACATAGTTTTAGTATAGGCATAGATCACACGTTCATTCATCCATTAGCAGCCATCCTATGAGAACATCATTGCTGTTGCCATAGTTACTGTTGCTACCTGAACAAGATGCAGTTGCTATATATGAGAAGATTATTGGGTGTGTAGCATTTTCAGTATAAATCTGCTCTCTTCCACGGAGCTGTTTGGATTGTCACGACCCCGTTTTCTGTGTGCCTTAAATCCTTTCTTTCAAAAATAAACATCTATTTCTTATAAATGCCTGTTTCTCTTAATCTCATCATTTGCATTATATGTTGTCATTCATCAGCAGTATGCATTATTTTTATTGCACTCAAAAATGCAGCCAGCTGAAAATGGATTTAGTTATTTTTTAGACTCTTGTGCTGTGCTGACAACGCCAAGCATGCACTATAATATTTCATAATTTCATAGAGGCATTGCTCTCCTTTACACTATGTATGTGTACTGTCTGCCAATGTATCTTGCAAAATAACTTCCAGCCGGTCACAAGTGTTTGACTGTTTTAAAGTTGTGAAATTAAGCATTTGCAGTGACATCGATGCTTGTTTCCCTTGATGCCTCTTTATGCCTTTTTTATTTTACATGCTATGTTTAACAGTAAATGTAAGAGGCCAAAACTTTATTAGTATATTTGTTGATGTATTTTAACATATGTTTGCAAGTGTACTTCATTTACTCTTATCAATTTCATTTTGTTTCTGAAAACAATATTATTATTTATAATAAGTATTATTTAGTGTATTTTGCTAGTAACAGAATGAGTTCTTGGACAGCAATGTTGATTATCTATTTTAGCATAAAGCAATTATAAAGTTTTGTTGTCTGTTTATATATCTGTCACTCATATTGTGATTTATTTGAAATAGATGTCAGGCAGGTAAGTACAGCTCCAACTTCCAATACGATAGTTAATAGTTATTTTGTGACAACAAAATGCAATAATGTGTTTGTATCCAATATCTTTTTTTCTACTATTTTCTGTGGATTCAGGCAGTGCAGTAAGCAGGCAGTGACACAAGCCTCGTGCAGTATTTTGAAATAAAGCATTCCAAGAGAGCACTCATTGGGAATGAGTTTTACTGTTGTTGTTGTTGTTTTACATTTATTTTTAGTGCTTTGCATTACTTTCACTTTGTTGTTACCAAATTCACAGAGAAATGCACCGACCTGTACATGTTTGTGATATATTTATTTATTTAAAAAAAGAAAGTATCAAAATATATTTATTTCATTGAGCATGTTCACTGATGAGCAACACTGGTGCTTTTCTTCTCACAGTTGCCCTTACTTACACCGGACCACCGGTGACACAGAGCGCAAGTACCATTTACGCTACTACAAGACCGGCACCTGCATCCATGAGACAGATGCTCGTGGACATTGTGTGAAGAACGGCCTCCACTGCGCCTTCGCTCATGGACCACACGACCTTCGGCCACCAGTTTATGATATCAGGTAGCATATTTTCCCTTATCAGTGCTTTTAGCAAAGAGTCTGTCAATTTAACATGTTAAATTAATGTAATTAATAAAATAAATAAATAAATATGCAAACGATCATGCCCCCGACCCATGCATTAATGAGGAATATTCCCACAGTCAAAGCAAGTCCACTGTCAGCACAGCTAGCTACTATACGAAACACGCTAAATCACACATACCGAGAGCAGGCAGCCCAGAACGAGTGACCCTATATCTACCTCAGATTAACTAAATCAATTTATTTATTGCTTAAACTGTTTTCAGCATTGATAATAATAAGAAATGTTTTTGAGCATCAAATCAGCATATCAAAATGATTTCTGAAGGATCATGTGACACTGCAGACTCGAATAATGATGCTGAAAATTCAACTTCAGCACAGGATTAAATTGCATTTTAAAATGGATTCAAATAGAAAGCAGCTATTTTAAATTATAATACTATTTCACACAATTGTGTTTTTTATCGTATTTTTGATCAACTAAATTCTAGGTGACCATAAGAGACTTCTTTTTTAAAAAAACCTTAACAATTCTTATCGAGTGTCTACCGAATGGTTGTGCAGTTACAATATTTAATAATTTAATGTACATAGTTGATAGTACATAATAGGGCTGCACGATAAATCGCAAAAGATCGTGCGAATATGAACGTGGTTTTGCGCAGCTCGTCAGTGAACAACGGCTCTGTGTAGTTAATGCTGCTCAATGTGAAAGCACGCACGTGATGGAGATTTACCGCTGATTACAGCACCGGCTTTACTGATAAGATGCGCGTTAAATGTCGCATGCGATTTATCGTGCAGCCCTAGTACATAATAATGTTTGCATTTCTTAGAGTAAAAGGAAAAGCTTATACTAAAGAGCAGTTGTCGGAAAAGGAAGCTGTTTGGCTTGTGGCACTCAAATTCCTGTTTTTCAGTGGCGGGGGAAATTCGGCCAGGATTCCCAACCCCCAACTAGTATAAAAGCTGTGAATCCCAAAATAACAGCAGTTTGCGCTAGACATTGTTTTGTTATGACAATTGCATTCAGTTGCAAAAAGCTTTCGTCGCTGCACAAGTTTTCAGCTGATTAACACCATAGGTGTTTACATATGTATTCAGTTCATAAGAGAGCAGTCAGAGTGCTTATTAGAGGGTGCTTAACCTAATTTGCAAATATATACCGTATTTGTTGTTTTACTAATGACATCAATTACACCTGCATTGACGAGCAGTCTGCACAACATAGCCACAAATGGTTTGATCCTGGCCTGGAAATGTGGCTTACCAGTGATTAAATAACAAGAAATATGCCATCTCAGCAGTTGCCTAGCAACATGTATGTGGAAATCGCTGTTACATCAAGGGCGGTCTTGTTTTTTTTTTTCTTTACATCTACCATCCGGAGTTGGTGTTGGTCCTGTTGAATGGGTGGGCTGACTTGCATAATTATGTTCACAGAGAGATCCAGGCACAGGAAGCTCTGCAGAACGGCCAGTTGGGATCTGGGGAGGGAATTCCTGACCTGCAGCCGGGTGTGCTGGCCAGTCAGGCCATGATTGAGAAGACCTTGAATGAGGACCCACGCTGGCAAGGTGACACAAAGCCTTCCCACACAAATGCAAGCCCAGTATAACAGAAATAAAATGAGGTTAATCAAAGACTTCAGTAGTAACGGTCACAAAAACGACAGGTCAACTCATCTTCAGTTTCTGTTCCCCTTTTCTGCAGACACCAATTTTGTTTTGGCCAACTATAAAACCGAGCAGTGCACCAAGCCTCCACGTCTATGCAGGCAGGGCTATGCCTGTCCCCACTATCACAACAGCAGAGATAGGAGAAGAAATCCCAGAAAGTTCAAATACAGGTGAGATGGAGACACTTCAAATTGCAAATATTCACAAATAAAACAGAGGTCGACACACTGTGACACCTAAAACACATTTGGGAGTGGAAGTGACGTTATTTGGGAATATTTAATATTTCTAGATTTTTTGTTGTTGTGCTTATTATTTGTTATTTTGGTTGGTCATATTCAAGAGTAAAATAAAAAAAGAATTTTTCATTTCAGTGCATCACTATTTTTTTTTAACATAAAACTCAATCCCCCTTGGATGTCTTGGCAGGTCGACGCCCTGCCCGAGTGTAAAGCATGGCGATGAATGGGGTGAACCCTCCAAGTGTGAGAGTGGGGACAGCTGTCAATACTGCCACTCCCGCACCGAACAGCAGTTCCACCCAGAGGTGAGACCGCCACACCTTTACAACACTGAACTTGAGTGATTAACTTATAATTTATTTGATTTACATTATTTTTTATCATCTCACCAACTTCTATCTTTGTTTCAAGATTTACAAATCTACGAAATGCAACGACATGAGGCAAACTGGATACTGTCCAAGGGGTCCATTCTGTGCTTTTGCACATGTGGAAAGTAAGCATGTTTATAATGATGATTGATTGCAATGTGTTGAAGTGAAATACCTGCAGTGCAGTGATTTCATTGAGTTCACGTGTGGCTATAAGATAGATCGAAATAAAACCGAAAGCACATTATGACTTAGTTTGATTTATCAAATCACAAAGGCTGTGATTCAATTAAATATATTCAATATTCAATAATATTCAATTAAATATGTGCTGCATGTTCTTTTTCACGCGAACAGCTCATGATCCGGTGTTTTAAGTGTCTCACAGCAGCTTGATTCACAGTAAATGCTGCTCAATACAAACTCATCTCTGCATCTGCTATGAGTTTGCTTTGCTTGTAACGTGCATTTGGGAACACAGCATGAACCAACCATCTTCCCAAACTTGTAATGAGAAGCACTTATAAACTTGATGTTGTCAACAAAAGAGACGCTCCCTGCGGTTCTCTGCAAAAAATAAAACCTGGGTGGTTTATCATTTGAAAATGAAGAAAATAATAAAAATAATTTAATGGAAAAAAAAAAAAACTTTGTAAGTTACTAATTGCAACACTTTCTTTGTACAGAAAGAGAGCAAAGAACATTTACATTATCAAAGAACATGATCATTGACTTCAGTCTAGCCAGAGTTCAAACACTCTCAAAAACTCCCATTATAATCACTGAAGCTGTTTACACTGACATTAATATCTTACTTACATCGTACACACATCTGCACTTTGTTGTTTCTGATGAGAGAATTCGCCAGAGAGCAGAATTAAGTCAACGAGCGCACTCTGAACAAAACACTGGCGTTTCACCGATGACTCACCTGAACACTTCTGATTGGCCATTGCATTCATAAGCTCAACAGTATCATGTGTGATTGGTTATAATGTGCAGCACTGTAAAAATGTGTCTGTCTCTGGCTCAGTGCCAGCCAAAGCGCAAACTTAGATTTGAATTTAACAGCTGATGATGTGCCGCACTGACTGATCTAATCAAACCGGTGTAATCATATCAAATATAAAACATATTATTCGGCTATTTTTTGTCTTTTGGAAGCTGCATTCAAAATCCACTTGAATCCATCAAAAATCCGTTTGAATGGGCATGATGCCTCTGATCTGAACTGTGAATCATGTTTTTTACAGTCATTTTACAGTTTAATATGTTACCATAGACATTGCCCTACCCCACTCATATGGTATTAATTTTATTTGTGCAGGTCTTTAAAAAGGTCTAAAAAAGTTTTCAATTTGAGCTTAAAAATCCTGCAGATACCCTGAGCCTGGAGCTTCTTTTTAAAGAAGCTCCTTTAAATATCAAATCACAATTTTTATCAGAAAAATTGCCATTTGATTCCCCCCATCAAATCTAAAGACTATTTGTGTGTGTGTGTGTGTGTGTGTGTGTGTGTGTGTGTGTGTGTGTGTGTGTGTGTGTGTGAAGGAATTCCTTCCACAGAGGAGACTATGAGCACGCTGCTCACAGCAATGCAGTCGTGTTCTCAGTCCAAGCTGGGCTCTCCGCAATATCCAGAGTGTCCAGTCAACGAGTGGAGTGGCAACATGAATTCCATCATCAGCAGCGCCAGTAACAATGGCCAGACAGGAAACGTATGTTTGCATTCACCTTCTCACACTTGTCTTGCTTCTGTCTTACATCTGTGGTAGAGAAATGTGCTTACTTTAGGAAGGAGTTGATTGTTTCGTTGTTAGAGCTACTGTTTTTCTTTTCATTTCAGCAGTTTCATTTTATCGACTTTGGTTTGCTTTGCATTCTTTTCTGCTTTATTGCAGTCTGTGTTGAAAAGGGAGACTAACTCAAATTCAAATCAGGCCTTTATACTCAAATGCTTCTTGATTCACATTAGACCAAAAATTAGACTTGACTGAGCTATTTTTCTATTACTGTGCGCTAAATCCTCTCACATTTGGATCTACCTAATCCAACAATGAAAAGTCACCTATTTGGCTCCAAAACCACGTTTTTAAGCTCATTTGTGCTTTTCTTCTTCAGGTATCGTGCTCTAATAGTCCAACTGTAACACCAGGCTCAGGAAGTTCTTTGTCCCCAATTGGACCCATCAGCAGGCCAAAATGCTTTACTAATGGTAGCTTTTGTGCAGAGTCCACCACGTCCAGTGTTTCCTCTCCGACGTCTAACTATCCCAAAGCTCCGGGTTTTGAACGGGAGGATCAGGTACACATGGCCGTTTTCTCTAGCCCTTTTTAAAGGGACCTCCTGCAGGACTGCAGGCATGACACACACTGCAAGCTTTCCCTTTCTTTGCCCTTGGGTCATTTCATTTGTTTTCACCACTTTTCGCTTTTGTTTTTTTATCAATGGTTTGTTGCCAAATGAAAACTACTTGTCTTTAGTTGTCGATATTCAGTTGTTGTTGTTGAAAAGCTTCACTTCAGTCTTTGAGATTGAGGGTGTGGCAACACTGTCTGCACTGGTATTAATACATTGGCATTGAAATATATTACACGTTAACTTTTTTCATCTATCATTCAAGTGCTAAGCTCTAAAATAATTTTAATGTTGTAGAGATCGGAGAACAAAACCCAGAGGCCACATGACCATGTTGTGGTAATCATAAAATGTCAAAACTAAGCACGCTGTAATGTTATACTGTCAAAAACAACTTTAAAGAGTGTTTTACTTTCTTTCTTTTTTTTCCTGAGCAGGTAGAAATTCCCTACATAATAACACCCCTGGTTGCCTTAACAACATCAGGTCACATGATAGGATGCATTCTCTGATTTCAGGCAAAGAACCAGAAGAGCCAGTCTGGGGAAAATAATCAAAAGTTAATGGACCAAGACAAGCAGGTAAAGCAACCTAACCTAACCTT